GACCAACTTGCCTGGGCACTACAGCTGGACGTTGTCGTACACCTTGTCGTAGTGCATCAACTTCTCCAACCAGAACAGGGAATCTCTTCATTTCTCTCCTGTTTTGCTGTGCTGTTGCATCACGTTGGTTCTGTCCTCCACGACGAGTGCGTCGTTGTACTTCTTGTTGTTCATACGTGGATGTCAAAACATCAACACGTGCTGGCTCTGTCTCTGCAACATCAATACTTGATGGGTCAGTTCTTCCAAGTGCAAAGAAACCATGACCAGAACTTGATGCAGCAGAAGAATAATGAGCTTGTTGAGTTTGTTGATTCTGTATGGCAGGAACTGATGTGGTCTGAGGTTGAACATAGTTCGACTTGCCTTTTCCATCTCCTGGCTTTCCTCCTTTGCCATCATCATCCTTGCCTTTCTTGCCTTTCTTTCCTTTTCCTTTTCCTTTTCCTTTCCTCTGGAAGTATCCATACTCATCCATGTAGTATGAATCATCATAGGCCCAATAGCCTTCATTCCAGGTTTGATCATCGGCCCAATAGCCGTCATAATTTTCATTCCATTCATCTTCTTGCCAATCTTCTTCATAATCTTCTTCACTCACCATGTGAGCACGGCCTTTTCTTCTTCCTTTACCTCGGCCTTTTCCTTTTCTTGATCTGAAGAACCTTCGTCCTCCTCTGCCTTTTCCTTTTCCTTTTCTCTTTCCTTTACCTTTGCCTCGTCTGATGTATTTGCCTTGGAACCTTCTCTGATACCATGTGAAGTTGGCGTCATCATAAACCCAGAAAACATCTTCTAAAGCATCCAGGAATCCTTCTGCGCCGTCTTCTTCATCTTCGGCCCAATAGCCGTCGGTTCCTTCTAATTCACCTTCATCCAGTACGAGGAAAGATCTTCTCTGTGCCATGCCAGAGGGTTGCATCAATGGATTGTCAACTGCTGTTTTGGTAGTGCAAAACATTTCCAAAAACAGGTCACGTAGTTCTTGAATGTTGTATCGATCGAGGGTTCGTCCACGATGTGTCATGATACTTGTGAGTGTGTTTCTCTGATCTTGACTCAGGTCAGCTAGACTTACAAAAATCAATGCTAGCAAATTTTCACCCAGTGGGAATGCTTGTCGCTGTACTTGTCTACGATTTTCCTGAAATTGTCTGAATGCCGCTAGTGCCAGTTCATCTGTCCAAGGAACAGCTACATGGGGTGTTCCTGAGGCTGCTGCTACATCAGCTCTTTCTTGTTGATCTCGTTCATGTTCTTGACGTCGTTGTTGAACAAACAGGATTGCTTCAGGACTAGTCACTGTTACTTCTGGAAGTAAATCCATCCAAGACTCAATAAGTCTATTGCCAGTGAGTTGAAATCTAGTCATCCACTTCTGAAGATCCATGGTTCCTCTGTTGAACTTCATGAACTGCATGAAACGGTATAAGAACACGTTCTGGGCACCTTTGATGAAATGAGGTCGTAGAAATCTTTTGAAATAAGCCACTCCTTCATAGGGATCCCTGAGCATTTCTCTATCCAATAGTCTCTTGTATTGTTGAGCATCTCCTTCCAGTCTGTTGCGCAAGGCTGGACCACGTTTCTCTGGTTCTAACTCCGTAATGTCACACCAGTCATCGATTGCATCCTCAAAAGCAAAGAAGCTGGTTCTCCCATCATATGCTGGAGCAACCTTTGTGGTCATCTGTTGCGTCATATGAATCTGTGTATGCTGGGGTGCTCTTCTCATTGCATAAGAGTCATATTGGTTCCATTCATTTGCATCGACAATGTCGAAGTCATCATCATCATAGCCATGGCTTGCCATTGCTTGGGCTCTACCTGGAGCTCACCCTCAATGAGGGATCACTGCTCCGCTACCACTTGAAGAGGGGCCCTAGCGTCTACTTCAAGATCAGCTAAGGCGTCTTCCCCAATGACAGCACTTGTTTTACTCAGCCTGTTGCCGGTCTGTGCTTGTCTACAGGGTTACTCTTTATACCTCTTTCTTTGAGCCTTGAAGGCGCATATAAATGTGCTCAATACTCATGCATGTACCTATGTAGGTATTAGGTCGAAACAAAAACAGGGGTGGGGGGGGGGGGGGGGGGGGGGGGGGGGGGGGGGAAACTTTTGTCCGACACAGGCACATGCAGCTTGTGACACGCTCTTGATGCTCTGCTCTGAACTTTTTCCAGTCACTTTTTGAGCCCGTTTTGACGCTATGCTCCGAATTTTCTCTTGTAACTCGTCACAGGTGGCACATTTAGAAGATGTTGTGATGTTGCAAGGAAGTTGGCACGTTGCAAGATGCTTGGCACGTTGCAAGATGCTTGAAACGTTTCACAACATTGTCGACGATTGACCGCGTGATTTTTTTGGGGGAGGGAGGGTGGGGGGGACGGGGTGGGAAACTTTTGTCCGACACAGGCACATGCAGCTTGTGACACGCTCTTGATGCTCTGCTCTGAACTTTTTCCAGTCACTTTTTGAGCCGGTCTTGACGCTATGCTCCGAATTTTCTCTTGTAACTCGTCAAAGATGGCACATTTAGAAGATGTTGTGACGTTGCAAGATAGTTGGGACTCAGGCGCCGCCGTCCGACACAGCCCCTTGGCGGCCGACACAGAAGCCCCGCGGCCGACACAGAAGCCCCGCGGCCGACACAGACATGCCAGTTTCGACACACAGACCTTAGTTTGCTAAGTTAGCGCTGGGATCTTTTTTTTCTTTCTTTGTGGAAGCCCTGCACGCGCCGCCCCGCCGTCCGACACAGAAGCCCCGCGGCCGACTCAGGCGCCGCCGTCCGACACAGCCCCTCCGCGGCCGACACAGAAGCCCCGCGGCCGACACAGACATGCCAGTTTCGACACACAGACCTTAGTTTGCTAAGTTAGGCTGGCCTCTTTTTTCCTACCCTGTGGAAGCCCTCCTCGGCCGACTCAAGCGCCGCCGTACGACACAGCCACTCCGCGGCCAACACAGAACACAGACACGCCAGTTTCGACACACAGACCTTAGTTTGCTAAGTTAGCGCTGGGGTCTTTTTTCCCATACCCAAGCCCTCTGCGGCCGGCTCAAGCGCCGTCCGACACAGCCCCTCCGCGGCCGACACAGAAGCCCCGCGGCCGACACAGACATGCCAGTTTCGACACACAGACCTTACTTTGCTAAGTTAGCGCTGGGATCTTTTTCCGTCTTTAAGTGGCAGCCCTGCGCGAGCCGCCCCGCGGTCCGACACAGAAGCCCCGCGGCCCGACTCAAGTGCCGCCGTCCGACACAGCCCCTCCGCGGCCGACACGGTATACCTGGCGCCGGCCGCCACGGCACTTGGCGCCGGCCGACACGGCACTTGGCGCCGGCCGACACGGCACTTGGCGCCGGCCGACTCGCACACCCAGCCGCGGCCGACACGCCCACCCCGCCGGCCGACTCACCGCGGCCGACACAGACCTTGTCCATTTTCGCAGCCATACCAGAGTCCCAATACAGCGGTCATGTTGATGGGACAGCCGTCAGGGTAATTGAGAGCCGTTTGCAGCCTTAGTCCCTTTGCATGTTCTTCGCACTGACGAGACACGACGAGATGTGTCGCTTTCAAACTTTTGGAATGGATTGTCGCATGTTGCCGCAGCCATGCTGTTTGCCAAGGCGAGGAGGTGAGGAGAAAGGTGCAGCAAGAGTTTGAGGACTCCGCGATAGGAGCGTTTGCTCCTTCCGTAGCTCTTTGAGGAATTGACATTGAGATGCATTTCGATCATTTTGCGATGCACGGATAAGCGCGACTGTTTAGACTTTGGACACTGTGCCCGTCGTGAAGTAAGCCAAAGAATGAACGTCTGCAGGAAAGGCAAGAGGAGCAAAGGCAGAGTTTGAGGCACCTATCATGTTGTTGCTGCCTCTTCCTGGTAGTGTGAGTGTGTGAACAGATGTATGATGTTTTGGGCAAGTTTCCAGGTGCCATTGCAAGACGTGTCATAGCAGTGCCATTTGTATATGGCTGACTACCTAGTTCAAGCATGTTCACCCATGTTCAACCTGCCTGTTTCTAACATGCTTTGTGTATCTTCGGAATCGGGACATGTGCTCGAACTCGAACTTTTGGTTTTGTTCAAGCTCCAGTCGATAGATGGCACAGCGCTGCAACTTATGGCAGTGCATTTTTGAGCGTCATGGCCACTTAGTTTGAATACGAAGCAAACTTGTCGCTCATGGTTCTTGGACAGTTGGAGGGCATGGCCTGGAGAGGAGCAAGAAAGAGAGAGAGAGAGAGATCACTACGTGTATCTACTTGATTCTACTTGTACAGTACACCAGGTTTAGCAGGCAGCTGGATACAGCACATGGTTGGACTACAGGATGCTACAGGCTGTTACCGATGTTGATGGCTGTTTGCGGATGTTCATGATGTATTGCAAAATATTTTGCAAAGTCTTGCGCTGCCTTCCTGAGGACCATGAACCTATTGGCACTGCCTCTTGAGAGGGAGCAAATCTATTCCATAAAGCGAAGATTTCCTGGCTTTTCTGGCAAGGCAGGCAGTGTGTAAGACCAAAAAACGATTATATAAAAACGATAAACAACGGATGTCATTATTGCATTTCCTGTCTAAATATGTCTAAATGGTGTTTGATGCTTTTGATATAGTTATTTGCTATGTTTGCCAAAACCAACGGTGCTAAAATGCGCTGAAGAAATGCATAGAAATGCGCTATATGCAGCATTGCAGGTTCCGGAAGAAGCTCGATTTTGGTCAGAGGAGGACTTGGAGGCTTTCTTTGATAGCAATGGCTCCTTGGTGGCTTTAGGGCGGAAAGCACCGGCTCTGTCCACGAAACCACAAATCCGCAAATCACAGAATTCGACGTTCCAAACCAATTTCAGTCGCTCACCTCTTGGTTCAAAATCACAGAATTTCATGCAAATTACAGACGTTCAAGCGGGGTTAAAATTGGTGTTTTGCATTTTCCTGTTGTCTTTTGCTGTGTCCATTGACCAATACAATCCAATACCAAGGTCAGAAGCAGCCGACTCATGGATGCAGATTCAGAAGATTCTTTGTTTATTGATTTTGAGGTAGGGGACGTAACTGGAAAGAGATCACATGAATTCGTATTAAGGATATTTATTCATGATATAATGGTCTAATATGGTCTAATGATGCCTAATGCCTATCCGATATCCGTTTTTGCCTTGCTTTGGCCTTGACAGCTCTGGCCTCTTTCACCTTGTGCAGTGTGCTGCTGAAATCTAGGCGCGAGAGTGCGAGACCTGTTGCAGAGACCTGTCCTTTGCTCTCGCGAATAAGGTGCGTTGCTGGTGAGACAACTTTGACCTAACCACTGTTACTATAGGCCATATGAATCCATAATATGAAGGTACTGTGCTGTATGTGCTGCTTGACTGGTCGTTTTGAATCAAAAGCGAGTTCAAACATGTTCAAACAACATTCCTGGCACGATCCTCTGGCTTGCGCTCCTGCATGATGATCGTTGGACGTTGAAGGCTTGAGCTGGCAAAGCAAAGAATTGATGAACCAACCATTGAGTATGTACCTGTTATGCAATTCTGGGAGTGGGCGTGCGTGTCGTGCTTGGTCAGGGCACGCTGTGAGACTGTGAGATGCGAATTCTTGAGGATAACGATACTCTTTTAAGATTTAGCACGGCCTCCCATTTGTCCACATCTTAGGCAGCTTTCAGCAGATATGTGCAGGGCCTGCGAGAGGACTGGTACAGGACCCTTGGAGATGCAAAAAGCACCAAAATTGTTTTGTCAAACACAGGGGAA